CCTTCCGTCTAAAAAGTGAGTTATTCCCATTGAAAATGTGTGTCTGACTAACGGTAAAAAGCTCACTTGTTGGACGAAATGACTTGATTATGCATGAAAACTTAAAATAGGGGTATGATAGTTATTTCTCAAACATTGAGGGACTTAAAGATTAATTTGAGCATAATTTAGGACCTAGTTATATTTTGCCTAGATTGTATAAGTTTTAGATTTATCAAAGTTTTTTACCTCTGAATTTTTTGTTTCAAATTAATAGAGAATTTTTGTAGATTTTTTTATTGTATTTAAACCATATTTTAATTTTTGTAGGTTGTGGGCTTCAAATTGTGAATTTATAATTTGTTTGAGCTTAAATTAATTAATTAGGCCCATAATTAATTAATTGGTTTAGTTAAATACATCGAGAGGTTAGAGGATGTAGAAATTGCACACACTGATCAAAAGAAGTTACCAGTAACTTAAGCAGTTGAAATGACCTGTGTGTGCTCTATGGATCTGTTCGGCAGAAATTATTTGTTTTAGTAGTATTTAGTAATGAGTTGTTTTAGTAATTTTTTATGAAATGTTAAAAAGTTAAATGTTATATGAGTTAACTTTTTACAAAATGCTACCCTAATCTCTAAAAATTAATTCAAACACTATATTATCAAATAATATTTTAAGTACTGTTTAAAAAGCTACTTAAAAAATAGTTACGAGCACAACCTATAAAAGTCAATTTCAGACATCAGAGGTGGGCCCAACAATAACTCAAAAAAAGACTCAAACTCAAGAACAAATTCAACTACAATAATATCTCAAGCAATTTCAATTTTAAATTTCTTTTAATTCATTATAATTTTCTTTTCAAGTAGTGTTAATTTGACTCTTATCTAGAGACGTGCATGGGACTGTGGAAATTCCGATATGTTTCCAACAACAGTCCCGAATTTCCCATCTAAAAAGAAAAAATCCGATATTAATTGAAGGGTCGCATCTTGACCCAAGTTTTATCCCTTTCCCTCTTGTCTCAAAAATCAGGTTTTCTCATCCCATTTTTTTAAAAAAAAAAAAAAAATTGAATTTTTCTTTTTTTTATGAATTTCAAATCATGTGCATGAAAATCATTTCATCCTTCTTAATTTTAGTTTTTCTATAACACTGATTACTCGTTAATGTAATAATAATATGAAAAAAAATGCATTTTTCTAAATATAAAATGATCAATTAATTAAACTTTTCCTCTATTATTTTACTATATGTATTGAGTATATCTTTTAGAATAAATTTTTTATTAAAATAAACAATGAAAAGATTAATTAATGCAAGAGAAAAAATTAACTGTAATTAATTTGATTATTAAATTATTGATTATGTCTAATGCTATTATTATTTATTTTTAGATAATATTCAGGATAAAATCACATCTTAAAGGCAACTATAATAAAATGATGATTAGTTAAAATTCATAATATATATATAAAGTTAAATTATATATAATTTTTGAATTATTTTTTTTTCTAATAACACTGATTACTCGTTAATGTAATTATAATATGAAAAAAAAATGCAATTTTTCTAATGTAAAATGATCAAGTTAATTAAAACTTTTCTCTAATTATTTTACTATATGGTATTGAGTATATCTTTTAGATAAATTTTTTATTAAAGATAAACAATGAAAAGATTAAGTTAATGCAAGAGAAAAATTAACTGTAAATTAATTTTTGAATTATTAAGAATTATTAGAATTTCATGTTCTAATGCTATATTTATTTATTTTTGAGATTAATAATTCGAAGATAAAATCACATCTTAAAGGCAACTAATAATAAATGATGATTAGTTAAAGATTCATAATATATACTAAGTAAACGTTATTATATAGTAAGATTTTTTGAAATTATTTTTTAGATTATATTTATACTTTTTTTAAACTAGAAAGTTACTAATTAATTTAAAATCAATCAATAAATAATCAAATATTTCAATATAGTATAGTATATACGATATTATAGTTATAGATATAGTTTCCTTGTAGTGCGACATAGGAAACACAACTCCCATTATCTTCTATTTCTATGATGAGGAATTAGTTTTATGAGTTCAAATTAAACACGCCTTCTGAATTCCATGTGAAAAAATAATAAATATTTTACTGCGTAATTAATTAAATTTTTTTATTTTAATATTATTCAATATTTTTGATTTTTTAAAAAACAAATTATTTACTTTACTAATTTTTATTCTTTTTGTAAAAGCCGAATTTGAAAATTTTTATTTGAGTTTAAAATAATTTTTTAACCTACATTTTTAATTTTATTTAATAAATATATTTAAAAATATTATATATAAAAATACAATTGAATCGTACTGAACCTGGTCGAACCCTCCAGTTCAATGAATCATTTCCTTCACTGGTTCATTGACTGGTCCGTTTTTCAGAACATTGGGATTACCGATATTGTTTTTAATGAATTTTGAAATATTTTAAAATAGTCTCAATTATAGCCAATTATAAAATTATATTTTATTAAGAATTTTAAAAATTTTAATTTTTATGATTTTTAAATTTATCTTTTAATAAATATATATATGATAATAAGAATTTAAAAATTTTTATACTTTCTTTTTTATATATTTTGATTATAATTTAAAATATTTTATTTAGGAGAGAGATAAAAAAAGGAAAAAGTATATTCTTTTTTTTCTTATGTTTATATAATTTGTTGGATATGTCTTTTTTTATCAGTCAAACATATAAATAATTAGGAATTTCAAAATTTTAAATTTTACCTTTTTTTAAATTTATTTTTAATATATATATATATGATACATTTGAACATATTTTTATATTTTATTTTTTAAATATTTGAGTTTATTGTGATTATAATTTAAAATATTTTATTTAGGAGATAGATAAAAGAGAAAAAAAAGTATATTATTTTTTTAATATTCTTTTTTTTTATTATGTTTGTATAATTTGATTGGATATATTTTTTAAAAAATAAATTTTTAAATAGAATATACAATAATATTCTATTTAGGAGAGATATAAAAAAGAAAAGGCATATTTTTTGTATGGTTGTAGGGAAAATTGTGGGTTTATTTAGAGATGATAGGATATTTCTTTTATCTAATCTTTATTTATTAATTAAATAACTTATTTATTTATTTTAAATTTACAATTTAAAACAATAGAGAAACAAAATAGAAAATACTTGAATAAACTCATTAACTGACTAATATTGAATCTTAGCATGATTTGCTTTGTAATTTCTATTTATTGACTTGGCTTTAGTCTTTTATTTTTTTTGTCCATCAATATTAAATTTCATTAAATTATATGAGTTGAAGAAGGGATTAATTTTTGAAATTCAAATTGGTAATTTTTAATATAATTTATTTCTTATTATATATTGAGTTTTGAAAAGAGTTTTATTCTTAATAATAATTTTTTTTAATAATAATTTTATTCTTAATAATAATTTTTTTTTATTTTCTTTTTCGCTACTAAATTAATTTTTAACTACTATCACTTTAATTTAGTAAAAGATTATATCTCACTTGAAATAAGTAGATAGTCTTTTGATGATAAAGCATTTTTAATTTTCTCAATATTTTTTCTCTTATATTCTAAATCTGTTTTGGTCCTTTTTGGAGTTTCAAAAATTTTTGTGTATATCCATATATTCATTTTTTTTAATGTACTGGATAAGTAATACTACCACTATAGCCAAAGCGATTACATTATCAATTTATATCATCTTTTTATTTCTTTTTTAATATTGATTTGGGATTGAAGGCAAGGTTGAAGATTGAGTAATAGCTTAATTTTCTTTTTGGACACCTATTAGGGTCTCAAGAATTTGCATTTATAAATTAGGGACTGAAAGATTAGGTTTAGGAACGTGGTTGAAGTTTATTTTAAGACTACTTTCATTATATAAATATAAATTAAATATATAAAAAGTAGCGTTACAAGTAGCTTGTACGGTAAACTCTAATACAAAATAACCTATTGTATTTATTTTAATTTAAACAAAAAATTATGTTTTGATATTATATAGGTAAAAAAATTAAAAGAGTGTAAAAAATGAGTATATAACGAATATAATTAGGGTTGCACATGACCTATTATAACCTGACCCAATCTGGCGGGTTTGAAGATATAATGGGTTAGGTTGGACGAGTTCACTAGATAAACTCGCAAACTTGACCCAACCTATAAATAAATTGTGCATTATTTAGTTAATTTGATTTAATTTGCAATTTTGAATATAAATACTAAATTATTTACATATTTAGTACATATTACATTTGCTATTGGAGTATATTGTACTTTAAAACATATTGTATAATTATGTTACTAAGTATTTTTAATTTTAATGCTTAGCTTTTTCATTAGGAAATTTAATTTTGTTTATTTTTAATTATTATTATGATAAATAATGATCATGTTAAGAAATTTAATTTTAATATTGTCATTAGAATATATTTATAGTTTGTGAAAATATTGTATAATTAAGTTTTTAAGTATACTTAATTTTTTTAATAATAAAGATTTCTAATTTATTTAAAAATATTATTATTATTATTAATTATTTGACCCGCGGGTTTACGTTGAACCCGTACCCAACCTGTTTATAATCCGAGGGTTCACGCATATAATGAATTGGGTTAGACAAAAAAAATCATTGACCCGCACATACAGGTCAAGTACTTTAAATTAATAAATCCGATTCAACCCGACCCATGTGCAGCCTAAGCATAATCAATGTGCAAAATACATCATAAAAAAAAGACTAATTATCCCTAAAATTGAAAACCCACATTTCCGTCGATTTTAGCAAAATCCTCGATCAAAACGTTAACTAAAGGAATGTGTCAAACAAGAAAGCATCAAAAACCAATTATAATTTAAAAAAAAAAAAAAAAAAAAAAAAAAAAAAAAAAAAACAAAAAAAAAAAAAAAAAAAAAAAAAAAAAAAAAAAAAAAAAAAAAAAAAAAAAAAAAAAAGAGAGTTATAACTGATACTTTTGGACTTGAATATTCTTGTCCATATAAGATTCAAAACTATAACCGATATATCTACTAAATTTGCAACAGTGAGCTTAACTTAGTAACGTAATCTTCACTAAAATGTATCTTATCTCTACATTATACTTGTTCAATGTCCTAGTTTAGAGAAGAACAGCATATAAATTGTGCCCAGTATGGTCTTCCTTTGACTTTCCTCTTCTCTCTCTTGATGTCCGCAGGATACCTTGCTGGAGAATTCCATTCTTTTCCTGCTTCTTTCTTAACGGGCTCTGCTACCGGCATTTCAGAGCCCAGAATTGGGTTCACCGTTGTGGCTGAAGCGCTGTTACCCTTTGTACCACTTTCATCTTTTTGAACTACCAGGAGTGGGGGTTCCTTGGCATTTGATGATTTGGATTTGGTTTCAGTGATCGCCTCACCTAAAAGGTTCTTCAATGGCGTGTGTTGTTTCCCGGTGCTCCAGTTTGTGACCTTTTGGATTATTTCTTCATTCTTCTTTCGTCCTTGTGACTCATTTACAACATGAGTAAGAGATGGAAACCAACCCGCTTGCAGAGATGCAGTTTTTGGCTGTTGCATATTCTGTGCTGTCTGGATATCAGAATCTGTGGCTTTGTCTCCTTTAGGTTCTACCAATGTCATGAAAGATGGAGGCTCAAAGATATCTGATTTGTCAGAATGCTGTCTCTCTGGTAAAGCTTTTGGCTTCTTCAAGTCAGCTTCCTCTGCTTCTACTGTTGGTTTTGAACCATTTGATGCCAAAGGCTCAGCATTGACAGTGGCAGGCATATCTGACTGCGTAGAAAGCACTGTTCCATGCATTGAAAGCAAACAATTGAATCTATAGAAACAATTTTTGCTGGTAACTTAATTTTTTTCAAAAAATAATTATATTTTCAAACAAGCTAACTAGACCAATCCTCTAGTTCAAGCATTAATCTTTTTTGCAGGGCCATTATGATTTAATCAAACAAAAAGAAATGAATCACTTAATCCAAAACTATACATTAAGACTATTAATATACAGATTGTTCAAGATTTTGATATCTATCAGCGATACAGTTTTTTTGGAGAGATATTACAATCTATTTCCGAATAAGGTTAAGTAGTGTGTACATAAGATTCAAACCGATCCTAACAAATCCTGCAGTCTAAGATTTTAGACAGCAGTCTGTAATATTTAATGCAAGGCAATTTAGGGCGTGGCCTGATTATTCTTTTAAGAACCATATTTGAATAGTAAAACCATATTTGAATTTATTAATGCACAAGTAAAGGAAAAGCATTCAAGGAAATGTACCCGATACAGAGCCCCAGTGACCTTCCAAGCTATCTGTTTGGCTCCCTGAATCAACAGAAAAGTCAGCTGCAGATGCACCGAGCTGTTGTGCAACAAATTTATTTTCACGTTCATCAAGAGAAGACTCAGATCGATTCTGGGATGGACCCCCAACAATGTCTCTAGCAAGATTATATCCAACAGTGGAACAATTTTGAATAGAAGATGAAGCATCCAAAGGAGAAAGTTGAGGCTCTTTCTTCATGTCTTCTTCTGAAGATTTGTGAAATACCCCAGAATCGTCAATTTTATCTGAAGGCTTTAGTAACACCTCAAAATCTCCAACATTATTTGAACACTTCCGTAATGTGTCATTTTCTTCAGCATTAATTGATTCAACAGCTGAACTAACTCTATCAATACCCTCCACTTGCACCTCTCCATTTCTATTGTCATTGCTTTGAAACTCCTTTATATCTTCCTGATTATCAGAAAAGTCAGCTGCAGATGTACCAAGCTGTAGTGCAACAAGTAACACCTCAAAATCTCCAACATTATTTGAACACTTCCGTAATGTGTCATTTTCTTCAGCATTAATTGATTCAACAGCTGAACTAACTCTATCAATACCCTCCACTTGCACCTCTCCATTTCTATTGTCATTGCTTTGAAACTCCTTTATATCTTCCTGATTATCAGAAAAGTCAGCTGCAGATGTACCAAGCTGTAGTGCAACAAATTTATTTTCACATTCATCAGGAGAAAACTTGGATCGATTCTCAGACACACCCACAACAAAGTCACTAGCAAGATTATCTCCAACAGTGGCACAATTTTGAATAGATGATGAAGCATCTAAAGGAGAAAGCTGAGGCTCTTTCTTCATGTCTTCTTCTGAAGATTTCTGAAATACCCCAGAATCATCAATTTTATCTGAAGGCTTTGGTAACACCTCAAAATCTCCAACATCATTTGAAGACTTCTGTAATGTGTCATTTTCTCCAGCATTAATTGATTCAACAGCTGCAGTAACTCTATCAATACCCTCCACTTGTACCTCTCCATTTATGTTGTCATTGCTTTGAAGCTCCTTTCTATCTTCTTGATTATCAGACACTCCACTCAAGTGTACGCATTCATGTTCTGATACATTCTCTGCAGCAACATTAGATTCCAGAAGATCTCTAGCAGATTCAGGCACATTTTTTGTCGTCACTGAAAGATTTCCCTCCAGAGATCGTAATTTAGAATTATCTTCCCCAGTATCAATTTTAGGCAAATAGTAGCTTTCAACTTTAGCTTCATCGTGATCAGCAGCATCACCTCCAATTGAGTTGGTACGTCTATCAAGTTCAGAGAGAACATTAGGGGGTTCTGAAGTTACTACTATATTTTCTATATAACTCTTCTCTGTAATTCTTTTGTCCTCCTTGTTTTCAGCTATATCACATCTTTTGATCCCACCCTTGTCATAATCACCAGGACCACCAAGACAAACTAAATTGGTTGTCTGCCTGACTTCAGCATCAACTGGTCCAGCTGCTGTATTCATATCAAATAAGGCCTCCGTCACGTGTTCTGCAGAAATTGTCTGTGATTTACAATGATCATCAGGTAGCTTTTTTTCTTCAGGGAATTGAGCAGTACGGCTTTTGTCAACCTCAGTTGCAACATCTTTAGGGGCACCAAATTCTTCTGTCATTTGGATTTGATTAATAGTGACTTCAATCTGATGCATGCCAGCTTCTGCGTCATCAGAAAAATTTTCAATAATAGGCTCATTGCTTCCACTTTTCTCTTCAAGGATATCTTTCAAACCATGCATATCTGAAGCAGAGACCTCTGTGCCTTCGTTCAATGAGCAAATTGTTCTATCATTAATAAACAAGTCAGTACCAACTAATTGAGGCAATTTTCCTCCTTTATTATCTTTATAACCTCTAATTATGCTGTCAGCATTCTCCGCTACAGGTATATCTTCAGGAACCGAAAACACATGAAAATTGTCATTTCCTTCTCTCTTTCCTTCATAACTCTCCATTGACTTGCCAGAACTGGCAGAGGCCATTACCAAAGCATCTCCCTTGTTGATCTCAACAGTACCAGTAGAAGTATTTAAATGTTCAACAGATTCCAGTTCAGGAGAGAGGACACTTAAATTTATCTCAGAGTCTAACTCATCTTTAGGTGATTCCTTCAATTGACCAACTCCAGCAGCTATTGCAGGATCTGAGGTGATATCTGTTTCCCCTGACTTAGGCAATGTCTCAGATGCCTCACTAACATTATCACTGGCTGAGTCCTTAACATTTAGAAGGGGTCTATCCAACTCGGTTTCTTCATTTTCACTTGTTCTAATCTCAGCCAAGTAATCACCATCATTTTTCTTGTTAGTCTGAGTTTCTCCATTTCCTTTTGTATCAGCCTCTGTCAAGTCCCCACTATTAGCAGTTTTCTCATTGTTCCCCTGTGATGCATCTGACTGGGCCTCAAGTTGAACGGGGTTTTTGTCATATGTAGAACCCCCTTCATCATCACTGGGCTTGTAAACAGATCCTTCAGTTCTAAAATCGGTTAAAGCTCTTTCTCTGAAGTCGGCGGTAGCACTTGAGACATGGTCTTGGGACTCTTGTGCACTTCCAGACAGATAACTTCCTTGTTCAGAATTTTGCAATTGGCTGCTGTCACCTGAATTGCTTAGAGATGGAATGGTAGCTGCACAGTTGCAAATAGAAGGTTTATCATGAAAATCTGGAAACGGTATCATAAAAAATTTGTATCCTACAGCTGCCACTGAAAACACATGCCAAGTAGATCGATTTGTCAGATACAATCTGCACATAATGCCACATCTTATTTTTTTATGTAATGTATGAGTTTGCATTCTGTACTTTTAATAAATGGCAACCAACTTAGCATTAATCATTCTCATAATCATGCAATATTTTCATCTATTACAACTACTGACCTTTTGAGTGAATCTCAACTTTTATACAGAATCATTGAAATTCAATTGGTATGAGTAAAGCCAACAGTAGTTTTGTTTCAATGAGGTCATAATCTCAAAGTTCCAAACTAAAAAGTTGAGAATGATGCATAGAGGGGGTATCATATCTTTGACAGCAGTAAGGAATCCTGTAGCTTATAATGATGTGAATAAAGTCAAGTATCATGTCAACAGAAAGGAAACCAAATTTTCCAAATCTACATGAAAACATTGCTTACTAATTCGACTTTACCAATCACTTCTGCTTCAATACAATAGTTTTATCTGTTTTTATGTAACTCTCCTTATATTAGACCAAATATCTTTACCAATTTAAAATAGTACTTGACCAGCTTGAAAGTTAAAATCTTTTAAATAGATTAATACATAACTGCTTGAATAAAGATGTCGACAGATAAATGATTATGATCCTTTTTTGTGAGGACAAGGGGAAAGACTTCCATCGTTCATTCTTCCATAAGCATTGCAGAAGCTGACTTGATGCACAAGAAATTCTAAAATATCACAAATTCTTTTACTAATGGGTAACTCTTGATTATGTAGAAGTGTATATGCACAAGAATGAAAGAATAACATTTACGCAATGCTTGTACATAAAAGTAAAAAGCAATTCTGAAGCATCCATATATTGGTTCATAAACAACACAACAATGCCAATGCACCATCTTTTACATGCATAAAAGTAAGTGCATATTCAATAAACAGAATTAACGGCATGTAAATATCAAGTTAAACATTGTATATATTTGCAGTCATAGACTTCAATCCATAGATTACTAGAACATATTTGTTGTAAACCTAAAGCAATTAAATGAATCATTTTTCAATGACAGTAATCTCATACCCATAGTGAATAACATTTTCCAATCAATTATTTAAAATTGTGAGCCTTGATGCAACTATAAGGTTGCTACATTAGGACCTATGGGTAAGCTGTTCAAATCATCGAAAAAAAGCCTTTGCAATATAAGGGGTAGATTATATATCTATCCTTTTGTATAGCAATATATGCATTGGAACATCTTTTACTTATTCTCCATGAACTTTATGGTGTTTTCATGCAGTACATTTGTGAGGTCCCAATTGAGCACAGAAATATTGAACGAAAACCATTGAATTCTATGGTTGAAAACTTTATGGTTAAGCCTTCAGCACCAGCTATCTTACGGATTGTATTTTGTAAAGTAATAGAAGGAAGCGTATAAGCGATTGTTGCTTATATCAAGAGTGCACCAGTAGAATACATGTCAAAGCATGTCAAAAGGTGAGAAACTCCTCAGGTCAGGATTTTAGTCTTTTTCCTCTTCTAACCAAAGAAGATAGCTAAGGGCAGCAAGGTGCAATCAGCACATAAAGAAACATAAAAAGAGAGATTACAAGAAAGGGAATCACAAAATTTACAATACCGAAACTTCAGCAGCAAATTGACCACTATACGTCCTAATCCAAACATTTAAAACAAAGTAAGCTTTTCCCCTTCACTGATAAAACTTTTATGTTCCATTTTATCCAAACTGACCAAAAAAAATTGAAAAATGAAAGCAAGTCTTCCTTCTTGAACACAAATACATCACCCCCTGAAGCCCACAATTTCTTCTAAACTGATCCAACTATTACTCAAGAAACATAAATGTTCATGTGATTCATCTTCCACATCTTATACTAGAGTTATAGCAAAAGAAAATGTTTTAGCATAAAGTTCACCTTCTTTTGAAGGTTATTCCTGGCCAAAATCCCCTCCACAGATTCTAAAAGACGTATATACTTTCCAAAATTTGAAAAAATGCTCCTTCATCCCTTCATGTCCTCTTAAACAATTGCAGGGTAGATTTCACATATCATAATAACACCCAGAACCTTCCACCTGAAAAATCTTCCCCCAACAATTGCAGTACTAAATTTGAATATAAATCCAGCTTTTCCTCCAAAAAAAATCATGGTAGAATTTCACATATCCATAATAACACCCAGAACCTTCCAACCTGAAAAAATCTTCCCCCCCACAAATTGCAGTACTAAATTTGGAAATATAGAATTCCAGCTTTTCCACCAAAAAAAATCATGTGGTATGTGTGTTAATAGAGAGAGCGAGAGAGAAGGAGTAGAGAGAAGAGAGAAATAGACGAGAGAGAAGAGGCTTTTCGAATTACTAATTCTTTGTCTTTGTGTTGACTTGAGCTCATAGATAGAAAAAGCAAAGACAAATTTATACCACCATTTTTGCAATGTTACAAAAAAATATAAGAGAGAGAGAGAGAGAGAGAGAGAGGCTTTTCGAATTACTAATCTTTGTCTTTGTGTGACTTGAGCTCATAGATAGAAAAGCAAAGAAAATTTATACACCATTTTTGCATGTTACAAAAAAATAAAGAAATTACATAAAAAATAAAAATCTAGCTTACATAGTCAATGTGAGCTGCATAGTACTAAACCTTCTCAACCTTGAGTTTGAGAATATCAAAAAGAAATATCTTAAATAGAATTGCATGCGCAAAAATTAGAAAACTAGTAAATTGTACCATTCGACAATTCACAGTTAGTCGGTTCAAAAAAATAAGAAAAAAAACATTGACACTTAGAGCTAGCAATGACAAGTTTGAAAGCTCATTCCAACTTACTTGGAATAGCAAAGTCAATCTCTCGCAGATCGTCTATATTCCTTTCAAATGCCCTGTGAACCTGAAATTACTTAATATTCCTGCTTCATCAGTCATTCAGAAGCAATTCTCCATTCTTATTTTCATCAAAGCTTCTTGTTTTGAATGCTGTTTTGCAGTTTATAAGTCGATCAGATACTTCAAGTTATTTAACTCAGTTACATTCTCATAAAAAACCTATGCTACCTTCAAAACTAACTTAGATCATTAATTAATGGTTCAGATCAATATGATCTGGGATTACTAATGTCCTGTCTTTGGCCATTTTGCAGGCTTTCACTCTGGCTGCTCTTTCAAAGTCAGGCCTCCATTCAATACAAAACTTCATTTATTTTGTTGCTTTCTTCATGACACAAGGAGCTTTTACTGTTTTCTCCGCTTTAAAATACATATCAAAGGACTCATCCTAATTAGCATCACCATTTTCATTTACTCACAAAATTTAAACAAGAGAAAAATTATTTCTTTCAATCTAAAGTTAAGTCTAGAATTCTACTAAAACCAAAAGAGCAGAAATCCACTTCTATATCATCCTCAGTCTTATGTTTGTCTGAGATTAACTCCCATGTTAAACTGAGCAATCACAAGCTTGTCTTATAGGACCACCACATTCATCCACCAATCAAAAAGAGAAAATTAACCTAAGAATTATCATCCAATCCTGAACGTTAATCTAAGAATTATCATCCAATCCCTTCCTCCCAAAAAAAAATGCAGACAAATATAAAGAGAAACAAGATAAAATAACCGCATGGAAACCTCATAAAAGACTAAAATCCAATGCAAAGTATTTAAATCTTGCAATAAAATGTCACTTTTGAAAATACAATTTAATAAGATTCCTGTTTCATACCTACTTAATTTATATATTAAATATTAAACCTTCTATCACCATAAACTTCTTTACTTCCATTGATCAATACTCTATCCAACCAAATTACTCAGTATAATAAAATAAAGAAATAAAAGGAACATAGACCATGATGCAGATAAATGAGCCATGCCATGGAAAGCCTACCAGTAATTGCACCATCCTCATATGATAAAGTGGTCCTTTTATCATTATCTGCAACAGTTTCCAGATACTTCACTGGCTTCTTAACATCCTCTGGAGACTCTTCGATCCCCTTCCCAGATCCACTATCTGAAAATTCTGCAACTGCATCTGAAAATACCTCGTCTTCTGATCTAGCTGATCTCTCACCAATTTCAATACTACCTTTCTCATCGTTACCTCTCTCCACAATTCTCGAACCTTAAAACACCAAATTTACCAGCATTAACTCAATAATACAATTCTTCACCTATTCTGCTACAAAATTTTTATCTTCATACCAACTTCCGCATATAGAACTAGATTAGGCTCATTTCTCAACATCTTTTTTTTAACAAAAATATATCACTAAATTCTGAGATCCAAAACCAGCAATTTAATTTCTTTCCATACATTTCCTCAGCAACTAAAGTAAACAAAGTACCAAAATGTAGAAGTATAGTAAAAGAACAGTAATTCTCACCAGGGGTTTTGTGATCTTCATCAGATAAGTGCTCATCATCAGAAACAATTGAATGGGCAGAACCCTCTGAATCAACAAGCTTATATCCTTCAATGGTTCCACAGATCTTCTTGTGAGCACGCCTGTGTCTTGCACTTGGATGCGGATTTGGAAACGGCCACCCACATTTGTGACAAACATGTACCCCATGGCTCTCATGCCCTACAATATTCAACAAGATAATCACACAAAGATAACAAGAAACAAAACCCAGAAATTATTTCTACATGAGAAGTCCAAAAGAAGCGAAAAAAATAAAACAGGACATAATGATTTTTATCATATTGTAGAAGAAAAACAAAATCAGGAAAATAACAATTAATGAACCCATGACTCATAAATTGAAAAAATCCAAGAAAAAAAGTTTAACCTTGTGTATCGTTCTTTCTGTGATCTTGGTTTTCCATCTTGATAAAGAAGAAGAAGAGAGAGAGAGTAGCCAAAACCCTCCTCAAAAGCAGCAGAATGAACAAAGATTTGTAACACTAAAACCAAGAAGAGACTTTTTAGAGAGAGTGAGACTATAAGCTCCATGGTCTCTTTTTTTCCAATAGGGTCTACGGAGGAGTACGGTGCACTGACAGACAGCGAAGATAATGCGTTAACCTGTCCCACACACGCGCACGTTAACTCTTCTAATTAACCGATCTCCCGCCTATAGATTCACCGAAATAAGAATACAAATCCAGTAGTAAAAAACTAAAAATGCCTCGTGATGTTATACTTTTGACCTTTTGCACGTCAATTTCAGGATAACATTGTTATTAAAGTACAAACGTCTGATGCATTATATTTTGCTTCAACTTTTTAGTTTGATTATCTTGCTTTTGCTTCTATTTTAAATTTTAAAATTTTTATTTACTTTTTTTTGCAAAATTGCATATTTTTATTTATTTAGCATTAAAGTAAACCAATTACATCATGAACTAATTTTGTATATTATATTAAATTTATTTTTTAATTCGATCAAAATTAAATTATCTATATTAATACACGAAATCCATAAGTAAGAAAAAAATTATTTAATAATTGAATCCTAAAAATATAACTCTAATAGATAAAATGTTAAATAAATCTATTTATTTATATTAATATTATATATTTTATGTTATATTTTGAATTTAAAAATATTTAATAAAATATATTTATAACATTAGTAATTTTATTTAGGCTATAAGATGGTATTATGATAAGGTTTTATATACAACAATATTATGATATATCTAAAAGGTATATTTTTTTTAAATATATAATGTATAAGATTACATTAATTATTTAATAATTTAAAATTACTATAGAAAATAGGCCATTAATATGTATAAGATTATATAATGTATAAGATTATAAAATTAAATATATAATGTATAAGATTATATTATTATTTAATAATTTAAAATTACTATAGAAAATAGGCCATTAATATGTATAAGATTATATAATGTATAAGATTATAAAATTAAATATATAATGTATAAGATTATATTATTATTTAATAATTTAAAATTACTATAGAAGATAGGCCATTAATATTTCAAAATAACCCTAAGAAGTTTTACAATTTGCGCTGGATAAAATTTTTTTGATATTATGGTAAATTTTTGTGCACCGTCATATATAGCTTATTATACACATTGCTTCGGAAAAAAAAAAAAAGAATAGTACAGTATATATGGATAGAGAATTATGTTATATTTTGATAATTTTAAAATTATTATAGAAAATAGAGTGAATATTTAACCATAACCCTAAAAAGTTCTTACCTTCCACCGTTTTTACCGGTTAAGAAACAAAGGGTGGTGACCCGTGTTGAGTCCCCCATTCCTAACGTTGGTTGTACAGGAACTTGCAAAATCATGTGCCTGATCAGTGACTAACGTGCGCCGCTACTAATAAGGATGGAAAAAATAGTAGTTAATCACGTGGCTGTGACATTATTATGACCACCACCAATTAAAATAAAACCCCACAAAACTGAATAATAAAAACGAAATTTATCCAATCATTTAACATAATAACAAAAATACACAAAAAAATACTTTTTCTTTTCTAATGCCTTTGGATTTACGTCGTTTTATCGAACAACCACGACTTTGACCAATATAAAACTACACTTTGACATGCACGCTTAGCAGTAAAGACGATATACTTTCTGATAACCAAGTACGACCGAAAATATAAGCAATGTTCAATAAAATTGCTCGATTCTAATCGAACCAATTGGAGCGGTTGATTTTTAAAAAATTATAATGTCTAATCTTTTTAATTTTTTATATTTTAGTGTCTAAATTAAAAATTTTACAATTCAAATTTGCATCTATAATATCATAATCTATTTATGATATAGGGAAAAAAAATACCTCCCCAAATTCTAGTTAAATTAACATATAACCTCTATGTTTAGACACTAACTGAAGCTTCTCATATTTAAACACTAATTCGAGCCTCCTATGTCCACATACAAAAAAAAAAAAAAGGGCATAAGCTTCTAGAGAAGACAGAAAAAGGAATCCTTCTCAACTATAGTACACAATCAAGAGGCTATTGAGTTTATAACATGAAAATAAAGAATTTAATTATGAGTCGAGACATCGAATTTGATGAAAATGCAACTTGAAATTGAGAAGAAAATAAAGTTGAGAAGCAAATCATGGTTCCAAGAATTTCAAGATCAGAGGAACGCCAAGAAGAAGAATGAGAGACTTCATCACAACAATCACCAAGAGATGAGTCCTCTCCAACAAGCATAAAAAGAAGCTTCATCTCATGAACCACCACTAGCGAGTGCAAGACAAGATGAGGAACAAGATTAACATAAGCAAAATAACAATTAAAAAGGTCCACAAGAATAGGAAAACCAAATCCAAAGTACGCAAATGTTACTGAACAGGTACAAGAAACTTACCAATGCAATTTCATCACTATAGAGCCGACAAGCTTTGACGAAACTATTCAACAATAAGAATGGGTTGATGCAATAGAAGAAGAAATCAAGATGATAAAGAAGAATGAAACGTGGGAACTAGTTAAAAAGCCAAAAGACAAAGAAGTTATTGGACTCAAATGGGTTTATAGGATTACATGTAACGAAGATGGTTCAATTCACAAATACAAGGTAAGACTAGTGGCAAAAGGATATTCTCAACAATCAGGAATAGATTTGAAATATTTCGAATTTTTATTTTCAAAACTTTTGAATTTTCATTAAATCAAAAATCCAGATTTATGATAATATGGGCTGTTAAGACCGAGTAATTCTAATTGAGCCCACAGATGGGTTTAAAAATTACACAAATACACAAAAAAAGGTAAGACTACCTACGGCAGAGGAGGATCATTCTTCCTCAAGACCCCAACAATCAGGGACATATGCATTGAAAATATTTCGATTTTTTTATTTTCAAAACTTTTTTGAAATATTTTCATAATTAAATCAAAAAATGCCTCCAGATTTTATGATAATATGGGCTGTTAAGCACCGAGTAATATCTAATGACGCACCAAAGTTTTAACCGAATTGGGCCCAAAGTCCAAAAAACATATTATTTGAATTTTCGAGAGTTTGGGTAATACTTAAAATTGTCGGGAGTTGGATAAAGGGATGATAAAATCGGCAAACACTTAATCTGTTAATAACCGAAGTTAAAAATGATGTCCTATATATATGTAATTACTTTAATAATTTATGAGGAGTGAGAGTCCTGCAGCGGACCTACAAATTAAAATATCTTTGTTATTAACATATATTTCAATGAAATAGACATTAGCAAAATATTTACGGAAGACTGCAACAAAAAAAAATCTCAAATAAATGAACCGGACCCCGGTCGTCATCGGCAAAAATGCAAATTAATTTTTTTTCGAAACACAGATAAAAAATCGCCATAATCAACTAATTGAAAAAAGACCAAGCTAAACCGATGAGATTTAAACCCATAATCAGGGAGACCTCGAATCGGAACCCACTATTATTATTGTCAATCCCATCCACCAATTAGAAGTTCTAGAAAAAAAAAGAAAAAAAAGGAAAAGAAAGAAAAGAGAAACGAGAAGAGAAGCTCAGTGGTCCTCTCTCTACGGCTATTCTCTCTAACACCCCCCTCCCTATCTTCTTCTCGTATCTAACGACCACCCGGCCCGAGACACGAGCCACTCCGGCAATACGAAATAACTCTTCTAAAAAATCATCATACAACTCCGTCGCAAGGGCGTAACGTCTTGATTTAAACACTTTAGTATTTGCGCGACTTTGAGCCAAGGATTGAGAAAATCTAAGACCTGAAACGTATTAGACAACCCGTTGCTACCTATATCAACAGCTATCTCCACGCAGCGATAATGTACACACTAAAGATCGATTCACGAATGAAATTGAGATAGCGTCCGAGGTAAGAGCTGTTTGATCGAACCAAAGAAACTCCTCTTCTCTCATTACCTTAAATTTCATTATGTGTAACGACACTCCTCGTAAACATAGAAACTGATAATAGCCGGAAATACGGAGAAAACCCAAAAATTGTTGCGTCCACATAATGCACAGAACCTTCTCCGGTCAATTCCTCAGGCCAAAAACATAGTTCACAGAGAACTCCATCCGCCCTATTGATTGTGAATGCTATATTAGTCGATCCTCTCATCGAAACGAAATAAAATCGATATGCTATTCGTTTGGTTCAATTTTGGTGAAGGTTAAATGTGACACGGCCACCCGTGCACCGGTGGCGACAGCGGTGCGTCCGGCGAAGCTTCCGGCGAAGACTCGACCGAGAAGGCACAGAAATGATCTCCTCTTCGCGCGGCCATATCACGAAATCGAAGATTCGATTTATATTATTTTTGATGCGGGAAATCACAATTGCAAGGCCTAATTGCTTGTTTTCGATATAAAATTAAAACTTGAACGTAACAGATTAATTTAATTGAATTAAAGAGTAATTGAATTTAGTAAAAGAATTGGAATTTAATGGACATCGATTATAGAAATCGGACTTCTAGGTAGTTGAAACAGGATAATAAAAGATTTTCACGCGAAAATAAAGAAAATTTGCTTAAATTCACATAGTTCATATGTGAGCATTACCGTTAAATCTTTGATTAATTATATTAATAAAAGGGGAATTATAAAATTGTAAGTACATCGTGGTATAATAACTAGTTCCTAAGTTAACGTTATTTTTAATATTGCTAATATTATTAATATCATCATTATTATAGAACATTAATTTACTAGCGACACTTATCTGAAAGATATAAATAAATAAATAAATAAATAAACAAGGTAACGAATGTATATATAGTTTAATAAACTAAATATGGACTAAAATTATTATTATTATTACTATTATTATTTTGATTATCATAAAATATTACTTACCGAACAACTAGACATTTTATTTAAAGAATAACTTAGAAGAAATAAATCAAATAAAGATACACTATAGATATACATTATAGTTTGATAAGTTAATGATCCGACGGGTAATAAAAACAAATAAATGAATATGAATTGATAAAACCGCATTTTCCAAATTA